ATTTTTTAATACTTTGCAATAATTTTTAATACTTTTCAATAGTTTCGCATAGTTTTTCATGATCTGTAAATTGTTTTTGATTGTTTTCAGTTTCTTTCACATGTTTCTCAATAATTATATAGCCTTCACGCAATGCAAATAAGAATAACATTTGTTTTTTCATTGTTTAAGATTATTCCCACTATGTTAAAATACCATAAATAAATAAATAGATACGTTTTGAATCCATGAAGTAATAAAAATATNATTTTTTAATACTTTGCAATAATTTTTAATACTTTTCAATAGTTTCGCATAGTTTTTCATGATCTGTAAATTGTTTTTGATTGTTTTCAGTTTCTTTCACATGTTTCTCAATAATTATATAGCCTTCACGCAATGCAAATAAGAATAACATTTGTTTTTTCATTGTTTAAGATTATTCCCACTATGTTAAAATACCATAAATAAATAAATAGATACGTTTTGAATCCATGAAGTAATAAAAATATTTTGAATATTTTATTAATAATTTTTATTTGTTGTTTATAATTATTTTTATTCGTTTATACTTAGTTTTTCTAAGTTAAAATACTATAAATAAGTTAGTAGATACATTCCAGGCACGTTAGGTGAGAGAAATCATTTTGGCCACCGAAATCTGGCAAATACCCTAATGTGCGGCATGGCAGCGCGGATATTGGCGCTCGAGCTTCGGGTTTGCTCTATCGAGGGATCAAGATCGCCCTTCAGTCTAATCCTATTAGTGAAACAGGCGTGTTGGCGTCGCTATCTACGATAGGAATACCAATTAATTTGAGATCACGCAATTATCATAAAGGAACTAAAATCGCGATTATCAAAATAGTTGAAGTCTGGAAACGTTCGAGCCTCGGAATTTTTACATGGAATATTGAAACAACATCTTAACTCTACTTTCCTATTTTTTCACCATTTGAAATGTCTAATTGATAGAATTGAATAATGTTATCAGAATCATTAACACACAAACGATAAAATTGATTGCAATTTAAAGACGAAACATTTTCCAACATTTATTAAGGAAAACTCGATGAAAGAACAATTTTGCTGGGTAATCGTGCCACTAAATTAACTATTACAAGTTTTCATTTGCATTAAACATCGCATTGTTATTAATGGAGAATATAAAATATACTTGTTATATGATTATTGATAAAGTACTTAATCTTAAACCCTTGCACTGCGATTCCTGATAGAATGAAGCAATTCTTATTTCTTGTATGTCTTTATTTACATTCGTCGCGAGAAGTACGCTGACAGCCTTTCAAATCGAATAACTTTTTTAAGATTGGTCCACATTACTTGAATTTTTTTTTAAATGTTAGTCCGACTTGTTTGCTAGAGAATAAGAAGAAAATATTTTGTTTGGGTTGCAATTGGTTGGGATGATAAAGAAATTAAAAAATGACGTTTCATTAACTTTTTTTATCCGAGCCTATAACGAAGATTTAAAAAATGCGTTTTGTAACATTAATATTAACATTAATATTATTAATTATAAATAATATATAAATATATACATATATATATATATATATATATAATAATATATAAATATTATTAATATTATTAATTTAACATTAATATTAACAGTATTCCGATGCTTTCTGTTGCAGATAAATCTACGACTTATTCTTGTCAGCGGTAAAACAAAAGAATTTCTCTTCAGTCCAAGCGACTCAGCAGGGGACATAGCACACCATGTGTTTGAGAATTGGCCCGAAGGTAAGCTGTCGCTAGTAGTCTTCGGAAAACTAGCTTTGTTCTTTACACGAAACAATCGAAATTACCAATGTCGAAACTGCAATGCAAATTTACCGTTACCGGAGTGCAGCACTTGCAATTTTGTTCGAAGTTTCCACGATATTCGCTTCATAGAATGAAAATTATTCAGGAATCTTTACGAATTCTTCTTTCTGTGACACTGAAATATTCCAACGTAAACACCTTCTCTAAGCTGGATGAAATCATGACGAACAATATATAATGATAAACAGACTGAGGATTTTATGCATTTATGAGAGAAATGTGTAGGCAAAAGGCAAGATAGTGAAAGCTTTGGAAGAACTTAACAATATTGTTACATCATTTGCAAGTTACAAAACGTATAAAGTAAAGAAGTAGATTTCTATTTGGCTAGAACATTTTTATTTTGCAACACTGGAAACATCGCTGGAAATTGTAGGGTTTCATCAGTTTTACTTCCAGCTATATCATTATTTCGTAAATAGTACCGAATGGAATCTGATAAAAATTTTAACTGAATCAAAGACGATATTTCTCGAGCAAAACATTTATTGGTGTATTACATGAATTTGTATTTTTATACAAATGTGCCATCTCTCATTGTTCTTTAAATTGTGTTATATACACTCTTTGTAAGCATCGTTGAATTTATCATGAACGGAAGAATTTTGACATTTACAGTAAATTCTCCCTAATCGACACTCAGATAGTACATTAAAATGGACAATTTGGGAAGAGGAGATACGATTATTCGAGCCTTGCGGCCCGTTATTACAGTTATTTTTGTACAGTTTTCACAAATTACTGCTATAGAAGGGAGAAATATTATACCTTTAAATAATATGGGGGTTAATGCCTGATCCAGATACTGCGATACACGAGCAAGAAATCTTCCTTTGTCCCCACAATATTTATTTAATCGTCATTCTTATCATGCAGGAATTTGCATTGTCACAAAGATATGGCATACCCGCGATTAACAAAGATTACTTATTTGACTACCAGTCCTTGTTTCACTTAGGAATTGTTGACAATATAAATCAGCATTTGGACAGAACAGCTCGCCGATGTATTGTTTCAGCAAACGAAGTGGCGCGCACAATCTGTAAAATTATTTTTCTCTTTTAACGTGTCCAAATTGTACTTACTAACTTATGCATAGTATTCTAACATAACAAATAATTATAAATAAGTAAAAATAATTATAAACAAATAGAAATAATTAATGAAATATTCAAAATATTATTTTTATAATTTAGTGGATGTGGAGTGTTTATTATATAAATTTATTTTTATTATTGTTACGATTTAATTTATTAATTAACTTTATTATTTTATTTACGGCATTTTTTAACATAGTGCAAATAATTAATAATTCAAGGACAAATATTATTGTTATTTGTATTGTGGGAAGTCTATAAAATAATTGAAGTAAAGATGTATATGTGAAACTGTTAAAAATATTAAACACTATCGCAAAGTATTCAAAAGGTATTGAAAACTATTGCAAAGTATTAAAAATAATTGAAAATGGAGAAAGAAACTAGAAACAATAAAAAGCTATTGAAAATAATTTTATATAATACTTTGGTTTTGTCTCATTTAATAAGTCGAAGCCTTATATAACGGTATAATATATAATTTAATATGTCTTATCTTGTCCCATGCAATACAAAAAATAATGTAAATGTCGTATTGGCAGCCGCCAATTCTTGTTGCACTGATAACAGAAACTTTTTACGGTTCCCAGTGACGCAAAATGAAACATCAGGACTCACTTGAAAGACTGAAATATCGCAGTAAATAATAGGTCATCTTCAAACTGGAATAATTTTAAACAGACAAACAATAAAAAAGAGAAAATTACTGAAAACTATGATGTATACCTGTCTAAACAGTGACGGTAAAAAAAATATGAACGCAACGTGTCCATCGTATATAAGAACGATCTTAATAACCGAGCCATGTTTCATAAATTGGCGAAGACAAAAATTAGTAGATACTACAAAAAGTCATTACTTTCAATGCAAAACAACGTTACACGAGTAGCGTATTGTAAATGAACAAAGTAATACTGGTACACTATTTATTCAGATATATATATAATATATTATTATATTATATATAATATAATATATATATATTTTTATGAACGGTTATTTTTTATTATATATACATATAAATTATTTTATTTAAATGATTTGATGTATATATATATATATATATATATATATATATATATATATATATATATATATATCCGAATCCCAATAGTTCAGGCAACCAAAATGTTTCATCTCACGAAAGATTTGAAAAATCGTATTTTGACCAGCTTTTTGAACCTAAATACAGCAATGCGCCACGCGTACAGCAATATTTGCTTACAAAGCAATTTTGAATTTCAAATATTTGGCTTGGGTTTCGTTATCGGCGACCTCGAAAAACTCCAAATTACAAAGTTCCAGAAAAACTTGTCGAAATCCTGACTGCTGGTCGAAAATTACCAATCTCCGGACCACTGCGCACTGTGCGGCGCGGCGCACAGTGATGCGAGCAATGGAATAAAATCAGAAAATCAATATATATATATATATTTTTTATAACAATCGTAATCTAGAGTCTTTATTCCTACATAAATAACTAAAAAAAAAAGTAACCCCCAACATCTAGGAAACACGTTAGTATGGACAACGATCATTTAATTCAGAACACATTCCATTTAAACGAATGCGCGGAAGAAGTTTACAAAGGCTTAAAAAAATTTTGCAACCTTCTGTGCGTGAATATTAACAATAGAAAAAACTTCCAGATTGAATACTTGTAAAAATCTTACAAAGAACATGCTATTGATGTCTCATTTTTGCAAATATTTTCGTACATATTCTCTTGTTATTTATTGTCCTGTTACATATTATATTAATACATGTATGTGTCAGTTACGTGTGTATTATGTTAGAATGTGTTACCCGACGCCTAGTAATTCTTAATAAAAAATGTTTCGAATAAAAATTAATCAGCACACAGTTTCTAAAAAGTTACAATGCCAAATGTTGATGAACGATGTTTTTATTCAACAAAAAAGCAAAATGGTTGCAATTTTTTTTAACATAACCATATATTATTTAACACGTTCCGTGCCGAGCTTTTTTTACTCGAATCTTCACACTTTGATATTTGACTAAAACTTGATGTATTACGTGCAATTATTAATTCTCGTACACATAACAACGTAACAAAAACTTATCAACGCCTATTCTTGCGGTGGAAATTGATTCTTCGGTTCTACATTTCTTGTAAACAATTTGTTCAGTTAAGTAAACATGCATTTGTTACTAAGTAAACATGCAAGCGTGTACCATCGATGGTACACGTGGCACGGAACGTGTTAAATACCAGATCGATTCATCTTTGTATTCCGTTCAGAAAAATGATTGACTTACTTAGGTCGAGAATTAATTAGGTTAGAAGTTACGATTATTGTCCCGAACGCCCGTAAGATCGCATATCACTGTGCGACAGGCCGACGAATTGCCGAGGGTCTCGGTATTCGCTAATTCCCATAAAAGTAGCAGCGGTATCAGGGAGAAACGTCCCGGCGTAAAGAACAGTCGCCATTTCTTAAAGCCGTGCACGGTACACCGTATAAATGGAACGCGGAAAAAATTCCACGACGTCGGTAGTATCGCTGCAGTGCTTCGGGATAATGCTAGCTCGTTCATCACTGTCGGGACACGGCTTCGGGACTACCAGAATTGAAAACACTCGCGGAAATATGGGGGCGCGAAGCATCGCTGTCTATCGTGGGACGTATCACGCCGGTACAATTCAATTAGACGGCGCGCAGCGTGGAAACGGCTCGCGTAAAAATTTCGAAACGTCACTGGGAACTATGTCCCGCTTATGGCGTGACGGAGATTGCCGGTGAAAAGCGGGAGCCGGTCGTTCGTCCGCGCTCTTTCCGACCAGTGGAAATACGCGGCCCGTTCTGGCCCCGATAGCTGGAAAAGAAACGACGAAATCCGAGTTTGCGAAACGAGAACGAGATCGAATCAGCCGGGATGATGCTTCTTCCCCTTAATGCCTGGAAGAATAGACGAAACGGATAGAGAAGAGAGAGATCGTCTTGTATTCTTTTAAATAAAGTCCCCGAACTTAAATCACCGGAGAGACTCGTCGCCGGAGAACCAGGAGGAGACTCGTTTAATATTGAAATGCATTCACCGACCGCAACTTCTGTTCTCTCTCTCTCTTTCTCTCTCTCTCTCTCTCTCTTTCTTCCGCGCGTGCTCTCTATCTCTTTCTCGAACCGTTGTACACGAATTACTTCGGCTTTCAGGGACAGAAAAGTGCCGCGGCGATACTGGATCCCCCGACCGTAAGATGGAATGTTCCATTAACTAGCTGGCACTCCTTGGAAATTCATTAAGCCACCGCTACCGGGGTAGTTCCTGTCTCGAATTACGTTGCGACCACTATAATCCTGTCGCGGAGCATCTCCCGGCTGCCTCCATGCAAATCGTCGCGATTACATAAAGATAAAGGGCGCCGCTTAGCCTGTAATAAAAAGTGCCGTTCCCATTCCTCGGATCCTCCTTTGCGAAACGTGTGTTCAGAAAAGACGCAAAGTCGCCGGGAACGCCCCGAAGGAGATGCAGCCTGTGCTCCATCAACCGTGCAACAAACCGCCTGCACGATTGCTCGATGCGAATACGCTCCGTATCTGCTACGGTGCGACGACGCACGGTGAGCCGAAACGGTCGATAAACATTGAAAAAACGTTGGGAACGTATTAAAAATGTTATTCAAAACGCTTTTTATTAAGGTGTTTTTAAGGTCGCCGAATTAATCATTAAGCCAACAAATAAATTTTTTAATTAAATAATGAAATTTGAGATTGTAGGTCGATAATATTTTATTGTTTCGCATACTCTTTGAAGTATTATCTGATCGTATTACGATTTATTTAAACTAAATTCGTTACCTCGTATGTTGTTGCGCGTTTTGGATCGTTGAATTCAAAGCTGAGGACAAAATTTCCAAAGTTTTAGAGGGACATCCAATTAGCAGCGAAATAATTGTACATTTTTAACACGTTCTCGGACAGTGAAAATTTTAATGAACTGCAAAAATAGAGAGGTGATTTATTCTTAAGCCAATTGTGATAGCCAAATTTTGATTGGTCCCATTTTGTCCGAGTGCTCGGACTGTCGCATTTTAATAACTATATTTTTTTATACAAAAAAGAAAAGGCAAAATAAAAATAAAATGCTCAATGAAACAGCAAGCCAATCCATGAAATTGGATAAATTAAGTATACAAATATATAATATTAAATATATAAATTACATAATAATTTTAAAAAATGTAGAATTAAATTCATGATAATGAGACTTATTTTGAATGTTATAGCATTCGCGTCATTTTGCGTTGCAATGAAAACGACTCCTATAACATCCACGTTCGCGAGCGTTTTAAGTTAACTGCTATAAGAGATAATGGTTTACTGATCTTCATTACAATTGATATCTTTACCTAAAATTCGAAAATTGAAATGATAAACTTAATGCTTCGAAATGTATAAACGCCAAGATCTTTTCATCATTTCGATTCTTATCAAATGTAGCTCTTTAAAGATTATGAATTCACGTGTTTCGAAAACATTATCGAAAATAACGAGAAGTTGAAATTAAATTTTAAAAATTGAGATTTTTCTTCAACTTGCAGTATTCTGACAGCCTTCATCTCTTCATCTGTTTCATTGTTTCTCACATTCAATCACACATTACACAGTCTACACTTGCATTCTCAAAAACGCTTTCAACACGTAGCGCATAACCAATACTACAATGTATACATACAGGGTATCTCGAAAATGTCACGTAATTCAGAAATGAGAGGTTCCTAAGGTCATTTGAAGTAACTTTTTCCTTAGCGGAAATGCAATCCGCGGCTTTGTTTGCGAATTATTAAAGAAAAACACTGACCAATTAAAAGCGAGCTCGGCTGACGTGAGGCGGCTCAGCCAACGAGCGCACGAAGCCCAGTTCCGCCCAATGGCTCGGCCGTCTCGCACCAGCTGATCTAGCTTCTTATTGGTCACTGTTTTTCGTTAATAACTCGTAAACAAAGCTGCGAGTTGTATTTTCGCTAAGGAAAAAATTACTTCAAATGACCTCTTCTGTCATGCAGAAAGGTATTAGCGGAAGACCAAAGAGGTAACATTTTAGCCCAGAAGGAGGAAGAAATTGGTATTCGAGAAATTGCTCGTTGGATTGAAGCACTGTCTGCTCTAGTTCGGTATAAAATGCCGACAGAATTCCTCAGAGTTGTTGACAATGGGCAACTATAAAAATGAGCCGCAAGGCTCGAATAATCGTATCTTCCCTCCCCCAAATTGTCCATTTTTGTTTAGGAGCTGAAGGAAAATTAGGGAGAATTAACTGTATACAGAAATAAATGCCCAAAATTGAAAAAAATATGTAATTAAATAACAATAAATATGCCTCTATCTTAATTAAATAAACTATTGCGAGCGAACGCTCATAAAGCAGAGGTTCGAAATGTACAATAAAAGGGGCAGAAGAAATCATTTTGTTTCATGACTTTGGTATAACCGCAACTAATTAAAGCATTGCTTTAAACAATTATCTTCGCAGATTTAACTGTCCTTTTCAACTGTCTTGAAGCAAAATCATGGACAAAGCTTCGTCAGTGTTTTCCAAAATCGTAAAACTATAAAATATTTTAACAAAAGCAGTTTGGACTTTCAAAATAAGAGCATCCCATAAATTTTAACAAACGCATCTTCCTTTTTCCGCGTATCTCAAATCTTGTTACCGAAATTCCGACAAAAGTACCGGCCATCATTTGCGCCACAATTTCTCCTTTCTGCGGTACAAAAATATTCGTTGAATTCAAATTTCGCTGCGAGTGTAGAGCTATAAAAATATAATGGTTTCGAATGCTTCATATTTTCCGACCGTCCTCCCTCGGCTATTCATCGGCAAATGGCCGGCCGGAGAACAATCGAGAAAGAAATTCAGAAACTAAGCGAAACGAGAACCGCAAGTTCCCAACGCAGATGTTCGCGTCTCGTTCATTATCGGAACATGAAATCCGGAAGAGGGGTTCAAAATAAAGGCTGAATTTCACGTCCGTCTGGGCGGAACGGCGGTGAAGGGGACCGTCAAGATCGAAGCGCCGATGTATCCACGTTTTCCGGGCCAACGGCCGCAAAATTCCTTTCTTTTTTTTCAGCTGGTACCATGGAAAAACCGTGAATATCGGAGGCAAGGTCGCGCGACTGATACCAAACTCTTTGTCTTTCAGACTGGGCGGAAGAAGCCGTTGCCAAAGCCGAAATCCTTCGGTTAATCTACCAAGGCCGTTTTCTACATAGCAACGTCACACTTGGGGCACTTGGTCTTCCCTTTGGGAAGACGACGGTGATGCACCTTGTCCCACGAGAAAATCTCCCCGAACCCAACTCTCAAGGTAAATCATCGACGATCCAGCCCATCGTTTCTTTTCTCTTCTATCCGCCTACTATCCGCCCTCGAGCAACATCTAAGTTGATCCTTTGCCTTAACAGCAGTATAAAATTATTAGTTCCGAATAACGTTAATTGCTATTTCATGGATAACGTGTTTCAATTAAACTTTTGCTCTTCATTTGGTCAATTAATAGCGAATTGGATAGATTGATTCTTAAATAACGTTAATTGCTATTTCATGGATAATGTGTTTCAATTAAACTTTTGCTCTTCATTTGGTCAATTAATAGCGAATTGGATAGATTGATTCTTAAATAACGTTAATTGCTATTTCATGGATAATGTGTTTCAATTAAACTTTTGCTCTTCATTTGGTCAATTAATAGCGAATTGATAGATTGATTATTTGTGGAAATTGCATTTATTTCTTAATCGAACATTTTTATAACGTTCCAAATAACGTTCGGAAGAAGCATTGAATAATGTACGGCAAATTATGATTTATTATTATGAAATCGTATTTTAGAATTGAGCATTTCTTGAATTTATTATTAGTTGAAATTCTTCTAAAGATAGCTTCTGTGACATGGAATAAAAGATTCGTCTGCTGAAAAACTTTTGCAAAATTGATTTCAAACAGCAGTATAAAATGAATCGTTCCAAATAACGTTAATTGCTATTTCATGGATAATGTGTTTCAATTAATCTTTTGCTCCTCATTTGGTCGATTAATAGCGAATTGATAGATTGATTCTTAAATAACGTTAATTGCTATTTCATGGATAATGAGTTTCATTTCATCTTTTGCTCCTCATTTGGTCAATTAATAGCGAATTGATAGATTGATTCTTAAATAACGTTAATTGCTATTTCATGGATAATGAGTTTCATTTCATCTTTTGCTCCTCATTTGGTCAATTAATAGCGAATTGATAGATTGATTCTTAAATAACGTTAATTGCTATTTCATGGATAATGAGTTTCAATTAATCTTTTTCTCTTCATTCGGTCAATTAGTAGCGAATTGATAGATTGATTCTTAAATAACGTTAATTGCTATTTCATGGATAATGAGTTTCAATTAATCTTTTTCTCTTCATTCGGTCAATTAGTAGCGAATTGATAGATTGATTCTTAAATAACGTTAATTGCTATTTCATGGATAATGAGTTTCAATTAATCTTTTTCTCTTCATTCGGTCAATTAGTAGCGAATTGATAGATTGATTCTTAAATAACGTTAATTGCTATTTCATGGATAATGAGTATCAATTAATCTTTTGCTCTTCATTCGGTCAATTAATAGCGAATTGATAGATTGATTCTTTGAATCATTTCATCACATTTCTCTCGAATCTCTATTATTAGTTGAAGTTCTTCTAAAGATACCTTCTGTGACATGGAATAAAAGATCTGTCTGCTGACAAACTTTTGCACGTCATAATCGTTTTGTTTGACTCAAGATAAAAATACATGTATCCCTCTTTTTTTTATCCGGCGTTTAAAGTCGCATCAACCACCAGATGGATTATTAGCGACTCAAAATCAGATGTAGAGTTAGTTGTACAATTAGGACTGTTTCAAGTAATTCAGTAAATTCACGATCATTTCTTTGCTCTTCAGCGTGTGTTCTAATGTGTTCCACTGTCAGGGGTGTGTTACATGTCCCACAGGTTGATGGTTCTTCTTTGTTGAGGAGGTATCGGTGGGTAAGCTTCGTGTGGCCTACTATAATCCTTGAAATCACGATCTGATCCTGTCTTTAGAGGGTGTGGAATATACTCTTTTTGAAGAAGTTATCTATTAGTTTCACTAGTTGCGGGGAATGGAGAGGGGGGTCCTTTTCCATTCGTTGTTCCATTCATCTTCAATCGTTTTTTCAATATATGGGTTATAGTTTCTGGTGATAAGTTGTTGTTAATTGGATTGTGGGATAGTGAGTTGGCTGCCTCTCTTGCCGCTTTGTCGGCTGTTTCGTTTCCGTCAATACTGACGTGGAAGGGGACCCAGATTATTGTTACTCTGTAAATATTTTATTTGTAGACATTCGTTGTAGTATCTCTAACAATGTTTTACATGCAAACATTTGCCAAGACATATTCCTCAGGGGTCTATTTTATCTAAGAAAATCAACTTATTCTTGCAGAATAAACGATATCCATACTATTTATTACAACAATATAAAATATAGTATATTTGTTAATACGCTGTTACGCGCATGATTATAAAAACAATTCGAGCAGTGCCCAAACATTAAATACGAATTATTGTTCGATTCGTACGGATAGAAGAGAAAACCAACGATTTTTAGTACTTAGTCCTTAGAATTAATAGACACTTTCTATCAACATATCGTTTCTTTTCCTGCTGACAAATTATTAATATTAATAATATTAATATTATTGATATTATTAATATTATTAATTATTAAGTAATGCAAGAAGTTAATCGATATGTTTAATTTATTGATCGGTGTGATGAATTAATTTTTCATGGCAGACCTCTTTTATGCCAAGAAATTTTAAAAACAACGCGCGTACACATACCAGAAGCCTGTTATCTCTTTTTTTATTATCACCGTGCTGACACAATGTTTTGCGATATCTCTTTATTTTGTTTTGAATCGATGAAACCATGCCACTGTCGCCGTTTATACCAACAGTGACGTCAGAAGTATCGATACAGCCGGCTTGCAGCTCGTATAGCACGTTGAAAATTGCAATTTATTTGACGTATCTGGGTGTTATTATATTTTTATGTTTCACGAAACTTGCGTAACTCTAAAATAATCCGAAAGGACTATGTCAAATCGATAGATCGTGAAAAGTGATTTTTCGTCATTTTTTTGTACAGAATTGTAGAAAGTACTTTGTAATTTGTACATTTGAAAATATGAATTTTTTACGTACACTTTATACTTAACGCTAAAAGAACAACCGAGCTCTAAACGCGACTAATGTATATTGTTTTGTAACAATGACAAGATCGCATTTATTTCAACATCGAGCTATTTTTATTATAATATAGAGTAAAAAGATTTATCTAACAATTTAACATAGAAATATTTATCGTAGAAAATATCAGAGCCGATTCATTGTGACTGGTTTGGTAGTTTCGCTGTCAATAAATATTTTGAACACTCCAACTTCGCGGATCTTTCCGAATAACAACATTTAGGGATTTTTCAGAATCTTTTCCGAAGAACTGTAGATATTGCGTTAAAAAATGTTTCTGCTTTCTCAGTATCTCATAATTCGCTCTTTAACAGTCGCCATTCGGACTCACAGTATAAACATTGTTATTTGACTACGTAGTTTCTGACAATTAATTAAAATTTTCACGTAATTAATTAAAATTTATACAAAAACCAAGTAGAAGAATCGCGTGTAAAGATATATTGAGTAAGTTAATAAATAAAATTATAGATCAATCGATGCATACTCTTGTCATATTCTTGTCAAAAAGATCCGCCATTCGAGTGTTAAAAGTTACAAGAATGGTAACAATTCGTTTCTGAATTGGATCTGGACAGAGATGAAAATGTCCTTGGTACAATTTGCAAATACGGCCACGCGAGACGCGTTCCTTTCCTTTTTCAACGACCTCCATAGTTCTTATTGAGGTGACATTGTAGATCGAAACAATCTCAAAACGATGTGAAAAATAGTGAAATCATCGCGTGGATTAAATACGCGGATTCTGTGATCCTCCGCGAAATATAAATACTTCGACGAAGAAATTTGATTCACGCTTATTTTGAACGCGCGCTTCTCTTCATTCCGCGCGTAATCTAAAACGTCGGCAAACTTTTCGGAATTGATCGGTGTAATGGTCTTCGGAAACACTACCGGGCAACCTCTTCCTCTGTTTGAATGGCAGTAATACAATCCACTTAGGTAATAGGAAAGTAATCCCGGTGATATAAGTAATAACCATAATGCGTCCGCAGCAAACGATTCGTTCAACGAAATTCGTTAATCCACTTATTAGCTTCGGAAGTAACACGTGAAAAAACAATATCGTCTATTTTTAACAAGGCATTTTCGATATGGTAAACAATCCGCCGCGGACTCGAAAGTTTTTTCAAAATGGCGCCGAACCCTTATCGACGTGGAAAATAACTTGGAAATGATAGAATCGC